CCCAACTTCATATGTTAGTAGATTTTAACTCGTTTTCCTCCATTTCCATCAACACCTCAAATTAAGGACTCCGAAACTAACACATAATCGGGCTCGGGGGCCGAATCTCGGGTTTTGACCAAGCGAGCCCGGGGTTGACTTTTGTTGATTGTTTTCAAAATCACTAAAGATGGAATCATTTACACTCGTGGGTAGTTTCTAAAGCTTATTTTAATTGTTTGAACTGTATTTGGTTAGATTTGATTGGTTGGAGGCGAGTTTTAGAGGAAAGGCCCCGGTTGAGCTTTGATTTGATTGCAGAGCGAGGTAAGTGCTGGATCTAACCTTGACTTTAGGGAATTAGGAACTTGTAAACTATGTTTTATGTGGATTATTGAGAAAATAGCATATATGCAAGGTGACGAGTGTATATACGCCGTCAAAATATTTGTTTCCATGTTTTCTCGTATTTCATGAATTATCTCATTCCATGCCTTAACTGTTACATGTTTTAATCGCTTTCTACGTTGTAATTTTTTATTTGTCATTTAATTATTCTCACATTGAATTGTTCGTCCCTTCCATGACTCCGTGCTTATTTGCTACTTGCCTTAACTGTTTTACTTGCATACCTTAATTGTCACGTGCTTTACTTGTCCTGTTATTTTTGTAATATCTGTTGCATTCCTTGATTGATACGTGGTTACTTTATTGCCTTGCACTCATACCCTTTGATTGTAGAAATTCTCGTAAATTGAGTTATTGGATTGTTTATGTTTATTGAAATTGTTTGTGGATTGGGTTGCACGCTGCAATAGGAATTGAAGGACAATTGAAATTGTGGAATGAGGAAGGATTATGATATTGGTAAATAATGATATGGTGGATCGGGTTGCGCGCCGCAATGTTTTATATTTTTAATAATTGATATTGATAAATGATGATATAGTGGAATAAGGTAGGATTGTGATATTAATTAATGATGATATGGTGGGATCGGGTTGCGCACCGCAACGGATTGTGTGTGTTGTACTTGTTGTTGTTGTTGTATTAGTTTCAGCATTTTTATATGAGCTTACGGAGTTTTTTATTTTGGGCTTTCTAATAGTGATGTTTGAGTTCATTGTCATAAATTAACTGTTATTCTTTCATTTCATGTTTTCTTTCCTGTTATTATTATTATTACTGCTTACAGGTTATTGTAAGTAGACCGATTTAGTCTCGTCACTACTTCGTCGAGGTTAGGCTCGACACTTACAGAGTACATAGGGTCAGTTGTACTCATACTACACTCTGCACTTCTTGTGCAGATACCGGAGTTGGTCCCGGCAGCGTTCAATGAGGTCGCCCGGATTTGACTACTATCGGGGACTTGAGGTTTAGTTGCACGGTGTTCGCAGTCCTGAAGTCCTCTCATATATAATCTTAGCTGTTTATTTTGATTCAAACAGTTATGTTTTTGTTCAGACTATTGTTTGTAGCACTCTAGATGCTCGTGTATTCGTGACACCAGTTCTGGGATTGTATTTGGATTTCGTCGTTTATTAGTTTATTCACTCCATTTCAGACTATTCAGCTTATTGGTTTACATTTGATTTGAATTTTTAAAAAAGGTTAATAATTATCTAACGTTGACTTGCCTAGCAAGTAAAATTTTAGGGCCATCACGGTCCCGAGGGTGGGAATTTCGGGTTTTGACATAACCATTTTACTCATTCCAAGGCCCAAGAAAAAATTTATGCTTTTTTATTTTTAAACTTAATATATAAATATTTTCACATGTAAATTCAGTCGGTACGGTTCGTTATTTTTCGATTTATTTCATAAATAAAAAATCTACCCTAATTATCGGTACAGTTATAGATTTGTATAAAAATGTACGGTTTTATTAAAAGAAATCTGAAAATCGGTTCAGTACGGTACGATTCGGTTAGTTTTGCAGTTTTTAAATATCCATTGACACCCCAGCTACAACATCTGTCCCCTTTCGAATGATATTTAAGTGTTTCATTTCTTTATCTATGTGATCAACTTTTAATTACTTTTGTTTTTGGTAAGCCATGAGACAAGTTGAGTTGCTCATTAGAATTTAAATTCTGTAACTGTTAATGTCACGACCCAAAATCCATAATAGGTCGTAATGGCACCTTACGCCGCTGTTAGGCAAGCCCACAAGTGAACCTACAGTGTAATTAACCCTTTTTAACATTTAAAACAAAAGTTTCCTTTTTAAAAGAACGAAATAAGTAAGATCTCATGCAACCGTACCTACTCTTTTCTCAACAAGTACCAGCATGATAAATACATCCACTGTAGTGACAAAAATGATAAGCAGAATAGTATGTAAATGCTAAAAGTCCCCAAAATCCGGTGCAACAAGTGCATGAGCAATCTAAAAAATACACAAAACTAGCACAACTATTGTCTGAAAGGTAATAGACAGAAATAATAAACAAGGTAGAGGGAGACTCTGGTGTTGTAGATCATATCAAGGCAAAGAGCTCACCACTAAGTCTCCGTAGAAGATCGTTTATGCGCCCACGTGACCACTGGTAGTACCTATCTCAGTACCTGCACATCCAGTGCAGAAGTGTAGTGTGAGTACAGAAACAACGCGTACCCAGTAAGCATCTAGTCTAACCTCGAAGAAGTAGTGAGGAGGGGTCGAGTTGACACCTACTATAGGTATAATAGTAATACAAATGCATAAAGTAGACATGGTGAGTGTATAACAAGTATCAACGAAACAAATAAAAGTAACTACAGTAATTCCACACATGAGTCTATATCAAATCACTAAACATGTCATAATCGGCCTTGAAGGCGCTAACTCAATTGTTACCAAACCAAATACAATTAAAATTATTAAGCACAAAGTTGCCGAGGCGAACGGCCCGATCAAATAAGAATAGTGTTACCAACCTGCCGAGGTGAACGGCAATCCCATAAGAGTAGTGTTACCATCCTGCCGAGGCGAACGTCCCGATCCCATAAGAGTAACTTATTTCATTGCTGAGGCAAACGGCCCGATCCCATAAGAGTAGAGAAAATTACCTTGCTTGCGGAAACACATGCGAGACGAGAAGACGCAGATCTATAGTTTATCAAATATTTCCCAATCTTTCTAAAGTAAGAGACATATTTAATTAAAATTCTCAATTTCAGTCTTAACCAAGATAATTGATACACAGGATAGACATAAAATAGCACAATTAAAGGCATGATGTGAATCTAAGTCTATCCGGACATGTCATGAATATAGCTACGTATGGACTCTCGTCACCTCGTGTGTACGTAGCTCCCCATAACAAGTAGCACACAATAATCAATACACCTAAGGGGATACATTCCCTCTTACAAGTTTAGACAAGAGACTTACATCGGTTCCAAGTCCTCGATCCGGCTCTTCAACCTCACTAGAACTCCTCAAACGATGCCGAGGACTTCAAAACTAACCAAAAGTCGTATAAACTAATAAATATATTCTCCAAAGTTCATAATTTAGCTATTAGAGTAATTAACCAACCCAATTTGGAAGATTCCTAAAATTTTACCTCTGGGCCCATGTGCCCTGCTTCAGGAAATATTTGAATATAAATTTTACCCATAACCTCAAGAACTCAAATATATAATTTATTCCCAATTACATAATCAATTTTGCGGTCAAATCTTATTTTTACCAAACCCTAGGTTCCTACAAAAGCTCATAATTTCTCCCTTAATCTTACATTAAATCTACCCATAATCCACGTATTTAACTCAAGAATTGATAGGGATCACTTACCTCTTGATGATGATGAAAATTCCCCACAAAATGCTCTCAAAATCGCCCAAGACCAAGTGGGAAATGAGAGAAAAGATTCTAAGTCCCGTATTAAAAATCAAGTCTTCCTAGTGATCTCTTCTTCGCGATCGCGTAAGAAGACTCACGCTCGTGAAGGCATAACTGGCCCAGGCAGTGAACTCCTTCTTCGTGAACGCGAGGGCTGTCTCGCAATCGTGAAGGCTTGCCCAGCCTGAGCTTTGCGAACGCAGTCAGCCATTCGCGAACACGAAGAGGAAACGTAGCTGACCCCCTTCCCCCAGGTCCTTTATTCTACGCGAACGCGGGCCCGTATACACAAATGTGAAGGCTACCAGTCCTTGACCTTTGTGAACGCGGCCCGATGAACGAGAACGCGAAGGGAAAAATTCCCAGTCCCCCAACTCCTTCTCCGCGAACGTGGACGCGTCCGCGAAGAAGGAAACCAGAACAAGCAACATTAGATTTTCAGACTTAGCTCCGGGTGATCAGAAATTCACCCAAGCCACCCGGGACCCCAACAAATCGCACCAACAAACCCATAAACATAATACGGTCCTGCTCAAACCTTCGAAACATGTAAAACAACATCGATATCAAGAATCATACACCAAAACCAACTTGAATCAGCTTATGAACTTCAAACTTTTCAATTAGCTCCTTACGTATCGAATCATACTTAGATTACTCGAAATGATACCAAATTTTGCGTACAAGTCATAAATAACCATACAGAACTATCCCAGGCTCAGAATCCCAAACGGACCTCGATAACACCAAAGTCTACTCCAAACAAAATTTAAAGAACTAAAAAACCTTCAATGAACCAACTTTCCACACTAAGCAACGAACGCTCCCGCAACCCGATGCGAACACACGCCCACGTCCAAAATCATCATATGAACCTATTGGAACCTTCAAATTCCGGTTCCAAGGTTGTTTACTCAAAATGTTGACTCAAGTCAAACTTGGCCACCCTAGGCCATTATTAAGGAACTAAGTGTTCTGATTTCAACCCGAACCCTTCCAAACATAAACCAACCATCCCTCCAAGTCATAAAATAGTAAAAGAAGATACGAGGAGTCTTAATTAGGGGAACAGGGATCTAGTAAGCAAAACAACCGGTCGGGTCGTTACATTCTCCACCTCTTAAATAAACATTCGTCCTCAAACGAGTCTAGAATCATACCTGGAGCACTGGATAAGTGCGGATATCTGCTACTCATGTCCTCCTCGGCCTCCCAAGTCGCTTCCTCGATTGGTTGAACCCTCAACTGGACCTTTACCGCAGAAATATTCTTGTACCTCAAAGCGAACCTGCCTGTCAACAATAACAACAGGCTCCTCCTCGTAACCCAGACTCTCATCTAGCTGAACAGTGCTGTAATCTAAATCATGCGAGCTGTCGGCAAGGTACCTACGGAGCATAGACATGTGGAAGACTGGATGAACTCCCGATAGACTAGGAGGCAAACCAAGCTTATAAGCAACCTTCCTAGCTCGCCTCAGCACCTCAAATGGGCAAACAAACCTTGGGCTCAGCTTGCCCTTCTTCCCGAACCTCATGATGCCATTCATCAGCGAGACTTTCAAAGGAACCTTCTCGCCCACCATAAATGATAAATCACTTCTGATCCGCATAACTCTTTTGTCTGGACTGTGCTGTGCGAAGCCACTTCTTAATCAACTTTACCTACTCCAAGGCATCCTTCACTAAATCAGTGCCATATAACTTAGCCTTGTCAGGCTCAAACCATCCAATTGGCGAACGACATCGCAGACCATATGAAGCCTCAAATGGAGCCATCTCGGTACTGGACTGATAATTTTTGTTGTAAGCAAACTCGTCCAAGGGCAAGAATCTATCCCACTGCCCTCCAAAGTCAATGACACATGCTCTGAGCATATGCTCTAGAATTTGAACTATCCACTCCGACTGCCCATCTGTCTGCGGATGAAAGGTTGTGTTGAGCTATACTCGGGTACCCAACTCGCTTTGTACTGCTCTCCAGAAATGAGAAGTGAACTGAGTGCCTCTATCTGATATGATAGAAACAGGCACACCATGCAACCGGACAATCCCTTGAATGTAAATTTGGGCCAACCTTTCTGAAGAGTAAGTAGTCACCACCGGAATAAAGTGTGCCGACTTGGTGCCTGTCGACAATGGCCCAAACGGCATCAAACTTCCTCAACGTCCGCGGCAACCCAACTATGAAGTCCATAGTGATGCGCTCCCACTTCCACTATGGTATAACCATCTGCTGGAGTGGGCCACCTGGACTCTGGTTCTCATACTTAACCTGTTAGAAATTTAGACATCTCGCTACATACTCAACTATGTCCTTTTTTATCCGCCGCCACCAATAATGCTTCCTCAGATTGCGATACATCTTCGTAGACCTGGATGAATAGAATACCGAGAATTGTGCGCCTCCTCTAGAATTTTCTCCCTCAAGCCATCAACATTAGGAGCACATAGGTAACCTCCTTGGCACTACCCTGTAGTACCGTCTCTCTAAGGACCAACAAGTACAGATCATCATACTGACGAGCTTTGATCCGCTCAAGTAATGAAGACTGAGCTACAACATATGAAAGAACTCGACTGGGCTCTGAAAATATCCAACCTCACAAGTCTGCTAGCTAAGAACTGAATGTCCAAAGCCAATGGCCTCTCCTTTGCCGAAATGAATGCCAAACTACCCATACTATCGGCCTTTCTGCTTAAGGCATCCGCAACCATATTCACATTGCCCGGATGGTATATGATGGTAACATCATAGTCCTTCAGTAACTCAAGCCACTTGTGTTGCCTCAAATTAAGGTCCCTCTGCTTAAATAAATGCTGCAAGCTGTGATGATCGGTGTAAACCTCACAGGAAACCCCATAGAGATAATACCTCCAGATTTTGAGAACATGAACTATCGCGGCTAACTGAAAATCATGTACAGGGTAATTATTCTTGTGGGGCTTCAGCTGACGTGAAGCATATGCAATAACTCGTCCCTACTGCATCAATACACAACCCAAGCCAACGCGTGAAGCGTCGCAATACATGGTATACATCCCTAAACCGGAGGGCAACACTAACATTGGTGCTGTAGTCAAAGCGGACTTGAGATTCTGAAAGCTCACCTCATAATCATCGGACCATCTGAACGGAGCACCCTTCTGGGTCAATCTAGTCAAGGGCGCTGCAATAGAGAGAAGCCCTCCACGAACCGACGAGAATAACCTGCTAACCCCAAGAAGCTCCTAATCTCGGTCACTGTGGTAGGACGAGGCCAACCCTGGACTGCCTCAATCTTCCTGGGATCCACCTTAATACCGTCACCTGATACAACATGCCCTAAGAAAGATATGGAATCCAACCAGAACTCGCACTTGGAGAACTTAGCATAAAGCTTCTGTTCCCGCAAGGTCTGAAGCACTAACCGCAAATGCCGCTCGTGCTCCTCCATACTATGCAAGTAGATCAATATGTCATCAATGAAGACAATGACAAACGATTGAAGATACGGCCTGAACAAATTCATCAAATCCATAATTGCCGCCAGGGCGTTTGTCAAGCCGAATGACCTCACTAAAAACTCATAGTGTCCATATCTAGTCCGGAAAGCCATCTTCGGAATATCCGAAGCACGAATCTTCTGTTGATGATACTCAGATCTCAAGTCGATCTTAGAGAACATCCTGGCACCCTGCAATTGGTCAAACAAATCATCAATGTGTGGCAACAGGTACTTATTCTTGATGGTGACTTTGTTCGATTAGCAGTAATCAATGCACGCCCGCATACTCTCATCCTTCTTCTTCACAAATAACATCGTTGTGCCCCAAGGCGGCACACTTGGTGTAATGAACCCCTTCTTAAGCAACTCATGAAGCTGCTCCTTTAACTCTCTCAACTCCTTGGGAGCCATATGATAAGGCGGAGTAGAAATGGGCTGGGCGCCTGGCACCAAATGAATGCCGAAATCGATATCCAGATCCGGCATCATACATAGTAGATCAGCAGGATATACATTGGAAAACTCTCGTACCACCAGCGCTGAATCTAACGCGGGAGTCTCTGTAGTATTATCCCGAACAAAGGCAAAGTAGGCCAAACAACCCTTCTCGACCATATGTCGAGCCTTCAAGAAAGAAATAACTTGGTTGGAAGTATCGACAAACGAACCCCTCCATTCTAATTTGGGCAACTCAGGCATCACCAAGGTAACAATCTTGGCATAGCAATCAAGAATGGCATGGTCCGGGGACAACCAGTCCATGCCCAAGATAACCTCGAAATCAACCATATCGAGTAATAGAAATCCGCTCTAGTCTCATATCCACAGAAAGTCACCACACAGGATCGATAGACCCGATCCACAACAACATAATCACCTACTGGCGTGGACACATATATAGGAATGCCCAAGGACTCGCGAGGTATATCCAGATAAGGAGCAAATAGAGAAGAAACATAGGAGTAAGTAGACTCTGGATCAAATAACACCGAGGCATCCCTATGGCAGACAGAAATAGTACATGTGATCACTGCATCGGAGGCGATTGCCTCTGTCCGGTCGGGGATAGCATAGAATCTAGCTGGAGCGCCACCTGACTGGCCTCCACCTCTTGGGCGACCCCTACCCACCTGCCCTCCGCCTATGGCCGGGCAGGCGGGCGTTGTGGTAGCTGGTGCGGTAATCATGGGCCGATGGTCCTGCTGCTCGGCCTTGCCCCGATGTCTGGGACAAAACCTCTTCACATGTCGAATATCCCTGCACTCGTAACAACCCCTCGGAGCAGTGGGCTGCTGACATGAAGTATGGCCCTGATGTCTTGAATACCCACTAGAGGAACCCTGAATAGCAGGCAGGCGGTAAATACTCTATAGAATGGCACTGAGGTAGGGTCCTTTTAGAGCACTCCGAGCAGGCGGTGGTGTTGACTGCATGGGCTTGCTAGACTGATGCCTCATGAACTAACCTCTACCCCCAGGTGGGGTGACACTGAACCCTCTAAACTATTGGGTCCATTTGTCCCTCGATGCAAACTCTCCGTTGCGGTTGCGAATACGCTCGATCCTCCGAGCTATATCCACAACCTGATGAAAGGGAGTCCCCATCTCTGTCTCACGGGCCATAGAAACTTGAATCTCAGGGTGTAGGCCTGCAATGAACCTCTGCACCCTCTATTCATCTGTGGTGAGTATAATAGCTACATGGCTAGGCAAGTTAGTGAATCTCGCCTCATAGTCGATCACATACATACGACCCTGACGGAGTCTCTCAAACTAACCCCGAAGCTCCTCTCTCTCCGAATGTGGTATGTACTTCTCCAAGAACAGATGTGTAAACTGATCCCAAGTCAAGGGAGGTGAACCTGTTGGCATGCTAAGAAGGTAAGCCTACCACCATCTGCGGGCCTTTCCCTCAAGCTAAAAGGTGTTGAAGTCCACCCCGTTGGATATCCCCATGTTTCATAGCCTATCCTTGCACCGGTCAATGAAATCCTGGGGGTCCTCTGACCGCTCACCGCCAAAGTTAGGGTGGCGAAGTCTAGTCCATCTATCCGGCCGTTTCTACTTATCAACGGTCATGACTGGTACAGACTTTGGCACAGCCGCTGCAACTGGCTGGGCCCCGCCCGCAGATAGTGCACCTGGGGTCTGATAAACAGCAGCGGCGTGCCCTGGAGCCTGAGCGGTAGGGGTATGTGCTCCCCCTCCCGCTTGAGATGTGGCAGGGCCCGCTGGAAATAAATCTTCCTGCGTCATAGAGTCCATGAACCGCAGCATACGACCCATGACCTCCTGGAATCCCGGTGCAGTCATAAAATCTGCTGGGGCTGGCTCGGCTGTAAGAGCCTCATCCTGCTCCTCAACAACAGGATCCTCCGCTGGATTCACTAGTGGTACAATGGGAGCAACTCTAGGACGCCCTTGTCGTCTGACAGGAGCTGGAGCCCTCCCCTAGCCGCTGCATCGTCCTCTAGCAACGGGGGATCTGCTCCTCTACCGCCTGATACATCCGCCTCGCGCGTTTTCACCATCTGTGAGAGATCAATAGAAAGATACTTAGCAATGTCAACTGCATGATAGGAGATGAAGAAAGAGAAGTTTCCTAACACCCTATAGCCTCTAGAAGATATGTACGGACATCTCCGCACCGATTTGCAATACTCTACTAGGCCTGCTCATGACTCGTGAGACCTATGTGAACCTAAAGCTCTAATACCAAGCTGCCACGACCCAAAACCTATAATAGGTCCCGATGGCGCCTAACACCGCCGTTAGGCAAGCCCACAAGTGAAACTACAATTTAATTGCCCGTTTTTAATATTTAAAACAAAAGTTCCTCTTTAAAAGAACAGAATAAGTAAGATCTCATGCAAGCGACGTACTCTTTTCTCTACAAAATACCAGTGTGATAAATACATCCACTGTAATGACAGTAATAATAAGTACAACACTACGTAGATGCTAAAAGCCCCCAAAACTCGGCCTTGAAGGTGCTAACTCATGAGTCTATATCAAATCACTAAACATGTCATAACTGGCCTTGAAGGTGCTAACTCAAATGTTACCAAACCAAATCCAGTTCCAATTATTAAGCACGAA